CAGTCAAAAGACATTTCTTCAGTGAGTGAGGCTATAGTTCAGACAGCGAGGTTAAGGTGAAGACCAAATACAATTTTGCGCATAATTCTCACCCATTAAAAGCAGAGAAACAAATGTTTCACATTATATAAACTGTCTGAACACATAGTCTTTTCATATGCTCTTCAGGCACATTTTGGCAAGATTCTAAATTCATATTATCCAGCATAACATGGAACAGGTAGAGCTTCCTTGGAAAAGGAACCAAGGTAGTGTAATAATTACAGCTAGAGAAACTGATGCCAGTAAACCTACAGAGTGTTTTAAACCAGACAACTGTTCAATTAAATAAATCACATCCTTTTTAGCAGAAATCCTGCTACAAACAAACAAGGAAACAAGTTTGTCAATAAGCAAAGTTCATCCATCAGGATATTAATTCTACAAGGATTTCAAATGAACTTGGGATAGGTAAAAATAATTCTTGTGCCAGTATTGATTTTTACATTATATTCTTATCCAATATTTCTTCAAAGTTCTTCCCCACCCCTAGAGAGAATGACATCCTTCAAAGAAAGGAAAATGGCACTCACCAGCCCCTTGCAGCTTTTGATGCTCTTCAGTGATTTGTAGAAAAAGTTTGTCTTCATGAAAGGCAATGCTCCATGTCTCTTGTCCTTCTGTCTCCTTTTCTTTGGTTTGCTTCTCTTCCTCCTTGCTAAAAAGCAGCCACCTTTCTTTGAGAAATTTTTGCAATCCATTCCAAGCACTTTCTCCAATAATGAATGCAACAAAATTCTGTCTTTATTCATTTAAAGCATGAGGCTGGCCCTCTTTACAAATACTATTTTCAATAATCCCTTTTTGATATGCATCTGTTCAATGCAATAAAGTGAATACAGTGGACCTGAAGCTTCTGCTTTGCAAAGATCAGCTCTCCAGATCATACCTGTGTGTATCTATCACAGCACCTTGCTGTGCAGTTTTAAATAGTACATACAGAGAAACACAGATATTCTGCTATCTGCATATCTTTTTCTGGAAGGATTCATAAAAGACTATTACAAAATTCACCTTTAAGAATGGCAATGAGGTAGAAACTTTCGCTTTCACTTTTCATCAAACTTTTCACTTACATGTTTTTGTACTGTTAAAATTTTTTCTAAATATATATATAATCTTTGATTCTTTCAAAAAATCAAATGGTTATTTGAGTAATCATGTCCTTTGTGTTTTTAGTACTTCTCTATACTAAAAACAACTTTTAAATTTAAAAAAATTAAAAGGCAGGTGGTAGGGCAAAGACAAGTTGCCTCTGGGGAGCAATTCTTCCTCAAATTATTTTACTTGACATATACTACATAATTTTATCATGAGTACCCAGTACCTCCATAGATCCATATGCATGGAGAACAAAATTACAATATTCCACTGAGATCTTTTGAAAAATATTTAAATTCTTGGTCCCCCATCAACCATAGAAATGATTCTCCTACTTTTTGTTAACAGCAAAATTATCTCCAGGGAGGTGAAGCAACTCCAGGGCCAGCCTTTCTCCAGACCAGGTCACTGTGGGTGTCACCCCACTGAAGCATTCATTTCTCTTTTATTTTTCACCTCAAGTGGGGTGTTTTATGTTTTCTTTTATTGTTTTCCAAGTACAATTCTCTGTCTTTTCCCCTCACCACTCCCCACTACCCCAGCCCTCCCAACCTCCCTCCCCCATTTCTACCCCCCACTCTTATTGCTGTCCATATGTCCTTTATAATTGTTCCTGTAAACCCTTCACCTTTACCCCTTTATCCCCTCCCCTCTCTTTTCTGATCACTGTCAGCCTGTTCTCAGTTTTAATGTCTTTGGCTATACTTGCTTGCTTGTTCATTTTGTCGATTAGGTTCCTGTTAATGGTAAGATCATATGGTATTTATCTTTCATCCACCTGGCTTATTTCACTTAGCATGATGCTTTCTGGCTTATTTCACTTAGCATAATGCTCTCCAATTCCATCCATGCTGTCACAAAGGGAAGAAGCTCCTTCTTTCTTTGACCTGGCAATTCCACTTCTAGTATTATATCCTAAGAAGCCTGAAACACCAATCCAAAAGAACTTATGCACCCTAACATTCATAGCAGCACAATTTACAATAGCTGAGTGCTGGAAGCAACCCAAGTGCCCATCAGTAAATGAATGGACCAAAAAACCACGGTAAATCTACACAGTGGAATTCTATGCAGCTGAAGCATTCATTTTAAAGATAGAAACATGAAGGTTCAGAGAGGTCACAGGCCTCCATCACAGTTCGGTGGAGCAGGGACTGGCCCGCAGCCTCAAGAGAAAAGAGTTACCTCGACATATCCCATGTGAAATATAGTACTGTGGCTGGATGCTCCCCTCCTCTGTGAATGCTCACCCCAGAGCCAAGGGACTTTGAAAGATTCACCTCCAGCCACAGGTTATGGGGAACCACAAGGAACAGATTTTAAAAGCTCCTCACTTTGAAGGTGACATTTACAACACAGGCACCTTCCATCATGCTGGGTTGCTTTCTCCAGCTCTTCTTACCCTTCACTAAGCAGCCCAAACCCAGAAATGGGAAGTAACAGGGAAATGGGGGTTAAGGAAACTCAAGGATAGAGGCTGGTTATATAAATTATTCTCATTTCTTCAGAAAGGGCTAAAATGCCATCTTCATGACCCAGGCAAGCCAGTCCTCCTTTAGGCAGCAGATAGACACATGAAAATCCTATGGATGAGTAAGTGTGTAAAGCTCATCTAAGCTAGTGATAACAGGCTGAGAAGACAGAGGACTTGAGAATGTGCTTTTTTTCATACTTATTCCTATTATCATTGTGACCAGCTCTTCTACAGAAAACGCTAACTCTGTAGGCTAAGTACCCCAGGTTTAAAGTTCAAGCCCTAATGCTGGGTGTCTAATGAGATGGAATCACCTCAGTTTTCATGCTCAAACCCTGTAATTTATACCTTGCTGGGGAGGCTGGAGAAAATAAACCGAATGACTAGCCCTCAATATTCCTATCTATACAATGAATCTTTTTTATAAAGCCAAGAGACTTTAAAACCTGGGAAAGATCCTATATGGAAAAGGCAGCTATTCTTGTATGATTAATACTTTCAGCAGGTATGACTACAAGATACAACTAAAATAATTTCTTTCCTGGTTACCTCCACACGTCCAAACAGGCAGCTCCACTTGCAAGCAAAAGCTTCAATTCAAAAATCTCTTCTGTTAGTTTTAGAAAACCAAACACAAGAAAGAAAAACAAAACTAGCCAGAGATCCCTTTGTAGTTAGAAACACCTAGATTATTTCATAGTCTGGGATAATTTTCTTTAGCTTTCAGAATTTTCTGAAAAAAGTCCTCCATTTTTTGCTCACTGCCTTTTGGCTAATTTATTTCTCTTAGAATTAACTTCATTTAGGATGATTTCTGCATATTGCCTCTCTACCTCAGTTCTCCAGGGCTGACCTGAAGTTTCCTGGGACAAATTTCTGAAACTACTCTTCCCATTTCACTTGCTCTTTCAAGTTCTGCCCACTCTGGCTGTAAGTGCTAATGAGTACACCAATAAAATAATTTTGTCTTAATAGTGTTCATGCTGGAAACTCAGGGGTTGAATAGGTGAGGCATGCCTATATGAGTCCAGACTGGTAATAAACTTGTTCACTCCCACAAAGCATTCAGATGTCATCCTTTATTTAAAGGCAGCTATATTTAACAGGTGATGTCAGACTATCACCAGTGGCATTTTCATGATTACAAAAATTACAGTTTTATGTTCAGAGTCCCACCACCAGTGTGCCTAAATTTGGAAGCAGTTAATTGCTCTTGTGTCCAGCTCTGAAAGGCACTTTCCAGGGTTTTCTGACCATTACCTTTTGCAGACCAGAAACCAGATTGCCCTTTTGTAACCCAGAAGCAGTCTGCAATTTTAACAAATGTGCTGACCTGCTTCCCCTCAACATCAGAAACAGTATTTATGCATTTACCTTGTGCCAGATTCTCTCAGGTTGTTTGGTATATAGGGATGAGAAGAGGCACCTCCAGGACAAGCAGTTTTTTAACTACAGAAAATATCAATGACCTCGTGCCCCCTACTCCTACCCCAATCTTCTTTGGGATGACAGCACCTCAGAGGAAGCGAGGAGTAGCCCAGTCATTGGGCACTGAGAAAATACAGATTGTCAGACAATATTTTGGGGAGGCGGAGGGAGAACACAATTCATGGGATTTTGTTCCAGTTCATTATTATAAAAAATATAGAAAGCTATGGCCCCTCTGTTCTCTTTTTAAGTTCCAGATCTCTTCATTAGGGCTAGGGGATACAGTGGGTAGAGGTTAAGGGGTCACAGCTGCTGGAGGAGGGACCACCATGGAGACCTCTTTGAGGCTTTCCTGCATGTGAGAGAAGAAGTAGGAGTGAGAAGAAACAGAATCACTGTTTGTAAAAGGCTGAAGGAGAGAAAGTAGTGGTGGGAGCTGGAACACAGGAAGGGCACAGTAGACAGGGCAGAAAGGGAATAAGAGAGGAAAGCAGGAAGGACTAAAGAGGAAAAACTTTAAAGGATAAAGAGAAGGAAGGGGAAAATGAGGAATGAAAGAAAGAGTAGGAAGGAAGGAGTTAGAAAAGAAAGAAGGAACCAGCGGGTAAATGGGGAAAGAGGGAAGTAGGGGGAAAAGAAAGGGAGGAAGAGTTTTGGAAAATCCTGGAAGAAGTGGGAAAAGGCTGGTCAAAGGGGGCCACGTCGGAGCAGGTGTCACAACATGGATGGAACAGTCAAAAACCAAAGTTCATAAAAGCCTGAAAATCCTGACCCACAACTGAAGTGTAGCCGCAGGGCCAGGGGACAGAGCAAGGCCGTGCCCCCATGGGCAGACCCACTGCACCTCTTCCGCGTGTCCTTCCATCCGGCCCACAAAGCTGCAGAGCCTAGTTGTGCTTCCCAGTCTGCCTTCCGCTCTGCCGCCTCCTCCTGATTCCCACTCTGGGCAGCACTACCCCTAGGAGGTTGAGGCTGGGACCGGCAGTCCGTGTAAGCTACTGAGGCTGTCTGGGGCTTTGCTGCCAGGGCTGGGAGGCTTCCGGTCAGCCACTGTGGGAAGAAGCACAGGGGTGTCGGGTCACTGCAAGGCGCGGTTTAGAGCCAGAGACCTGGGGAGCGAGGACACCCGCAAACCTAGAAGACAGCGCGAGGATCCCGGGTGAACTTGCCGCGAGCGCTAGATACATCAGAGGTTTGGAAGGAGGAAGTGGAGACTTGCTCTCTCGAACAGTCCCTAGTGTCAGTCGGTGCCCACCCTTCCTCCTCCCCTAAAGGAGTCACTTGTGAGGGAAATCAAGTGGCTCTCCTCGCAAGGCCATTTTGCAGGTGCTGCCAGACCACTGACTTGGTACAATTCTCTTTGCAAGGCGCTTAATCCAGAAGTCGATAGGTGCAGGAAGGTGCTGCACTGCCACCCATTGCACCCCCGCGCCCAGGAAGCTCTGAAATCAGAGATCTCTGGGGGAGGGAGCAGATAACTGATATTCGCACACCCCTCCTCCCAACCTCCACCCACCAACCCCAGACCTCAGCTAGCCATGCACAAGCCCAAATAGCTAGTTGCCTGCACCAGGTCCGCTGTCCCTCAAAAAGGCTTGGGGCGCTATCTTTACGCGGGGGGAGATCAAGTGGAGTACCAGTCACCAAAGACATCCCTTCGGTGTCTTTGGAGGGCTCTGGGCAGCCAAGAGCTTTCCCGCAAAGGAAGTGGCTGATCTTTAAGTGGGCGGCTGACTTTAGCCGGAGAATCTAGATTCCCTCACCACCTCAGGCACAGTACATCCTAGGGGGCAAGGGATTAAGTGACAGTAGGCTTGCCAAATCAGGCGGCATTCTGTACGTTGCTCTGTTATTTGGGGTTTTGGATAGGGGCCCAAGTTTTGCTACTGGAAGCCAAAAAAGTGACATCATCATTGTGCAACCTCTGTTTTTCCTTCTGGACCCCTACCAGCTTAGCTTCTCCTGTACTAGGAGGCACAAGTTTGTTGACACCTAAAGGCACCTGTTTTCAACTTTATTTTTTCCTCCACCAAGTCCTTCTTTGAAAGGGGAGTTCTGAGCACCTCACTTTGGGGTGAGGGGGAACTCTGGAATATTTTTCCCTGAATCTGCCCCTGCCTCTGCTCCAGCCCCATGGGCAACCTACTGTGTGTGAGAAGCTGGGTTGTACACCTCTGCTAGAGGGATGCATGTACACACACACATAAGCAAGCACACACATCTGGTTTCTCAGGGGTTTCTAAGGGGTCTAAAGACTTCTCCAGGGCAAAGTGACCCCTAAGCTGTCCCACAACTCAACTCTCCTGCCTCACTTCATACCCACACACCCACACATCACCTCTCAGCTCTCTTGCCTAAACAGTTGTGGCCACTCAGCCAGAGAAGTTTCCAGACCTCTTCTCTTCACTCTGTACACACACTTCAAGGTGAAGAGGACCTGTTTAGAAAATCTCTAAGGAGGAGGAGGTTTCTCAGTCTAGGACCAGTTGCCTTAGAGACAAGCGAAAAAACATGAAAAATAAAAGACCCAGGACCCCAGAGATATATTTCACCCCTGCTGCAGGGCAAATCTTGTTGCCTTTTTAGCTCTGCCAATGCCAGGCCTCCCCATGGGGCCCCCGCTACCTTCCTTTCCCACCACAGGTCCCTCGGCAATGAGAGTGAGTGAAAGACTGGGGCCCTAAGGCATTGGATGCTTTGCAGAAACTTTAACTTAATTCTAGGGGGACACGCATTTTAAAAATGTTGGGACTGCTATTCCATGGCTACTGGGATGGAGGGGATGAGGACAGATGAAGGGTGGAGGAGTGGGGCATCTGGGAAGAGGTCTTGAAGGGCTGGGTCAAATAAAATCTGGATTGCCAGCAGCCGGGCTCTCACGCAAATGCCTGTGCCCTAGTGCTCTCTGGCAAAGGTTGCTTTTAGGATCAATTTTTCAAGATCTAATCCTGAGCAGAGAAAATGATAAGGGAAATGAGAGTTATCTGTAACAAATATAAACAAAATTTTCTTCGAACCTATGCAATTCCTTACAGATTTGATTTCCAAATCTTTAGTCTTTCCAAACCCCCGATGAGAAGGGTTTTGAGGTTTTGAAGTCTTCTGGAAACATGCTATAAATACTAGTTGTCTTGAGGGAACATCTGGTGAGGTCTGTCATATGTGAGGGTGGAGATGAGATTGTCCTGCCTTGGCTATGAAAAAGCAATGGGATGGGTGTTAAAATTCCCAGCAAATCAGCACCTTTCCACATGTAGATGAACTGGAACTTTCTATTCCTTAGGTTCCCAAGAATTAAAGTTTGCTTTCATGGATAGGTAATGTAAATTATACTTTCTTGCCGACCTAATACAGAACCCACAGGCATTACTCTTTACCAAGATAAAATTCATAAATTGTGATACTTAACATTTGATTAGACTACCCTTAAGGTAACCTCTAAGTTCACTGGCACCTGATTTGGAGGATATACAGACTAGATGATCAAAAATATTTGTTTTACTGAGCATTCATGATATTAACTTGCTTTCAGTAAAGAAAAAATTTCCTCCTGAAAAAAAATTTAATAAATACTACTCTTACTATTTTATTAACTGAACATCAATTAAATATACTAATTGTCTTGTGGGGTTGTTTAAATACAATTTTAAAGCAATGATAAGGGGGGAAAGGCAGTGATCTGGATTACTTTGCATTGTAATTTTTCAAAGACCAGTTGGTGGTATGGACAGTCTTTGATGTCAGCTTTTCTGCCAGTAAGAATAAAACTTCTTAACCCAAATATGTGTGTAATTCTAATTACTTTTGTGTTCCTTGTTCAAAGGCAAACACTTGTGTGCAGTTTGAGAAATCATTGTTTAAAGACAGCCCTAATTTATCCAATGATCCTCTACCTATATCTTTAAAGAACTGCGAGGATCAGGAAATTAAGTTATAAATTTTATATAATAATATAGTTAATTATTGCTACAGACTTTGAAAATTAGTGAGGTGTTTCATAATAGGAAGTGAATATAATGGTAAAAGGGTCATGAATGCAAATGCCATTCAATAGCTCCGTATTTCTGAAAGTGTCTTCTAAAGAAAATCAACACCAATGAATCCCCAGCCCAATTAACTTGAATTAGTTTAGAATTCAGAACTGTGTGTTTTACCTTTGGGTTGTTACCTACAGGCCATAATTTGTTTCTAATGTTGAGCTTGAAATGCCCTAGAACAAAGTTAGCAAAGGACTACACTGGTGTGAGAACAGCAAGTCCTTTTATAAATCTTCTTTCTGCTTGAGATCAGCGCTGGGGAAAATCATTTAAATGTGTGGATACACTTTTCTAATTAAAATTAACCCACTTAGTCAAATGATTTATATAATGAGGTAGATTCCATCTCAATTTCTTATTCAAATATAAGGTCAGTTGTCCAGAAAGCAGTTAGATTTGAGGCCAAGGACAAGAAATATCCTGAGCGAAGCATTCACTCTGAGACTTCTTATTGTTCCTTAAATGTAAATCTTTAGAGGAGTTCTAATACTCAATTTTTTAAATTTCCTTTAATTGGATTTTCTTATAAATGAGCACCTGGTATTCTATTTTTTAATTTAGTTTAAAGCTTAAAATAATTTTATTTCTCAATTTTTATAATTTATATTGCATGCTTGTGTTTTAAGAAAGGTGAAAATTTTTTAAATTGTTTTTTTATTTACTCGATTTATTAAGGGCAGTTTAATATATTGTCTCTCACACACACATACACAGACAACTCAATTCAGGATATTGTGTCTCCTTGGAAATAAAGCTTTTTTCCTGCCTCCTCCTTCCTTCTTGGTAGATATGAGGAGGACCTGACTGGTAAAGATCCTTCTGGAATACCACTCTGCCCTAGGCTGACCCTAAGGTTTGTGTTCTGTTTCCCTCACTGCTGTTGCTGGGACCCCCTTAGGTGACTCCTTCCTTTCTTGGGGTTGTTGAAGTTGCATATATGTGGTGGTCAGAATCTATTGCAGGCAGGTTCTTCGAAATTAGCAAATTCTGCCACTCCTTTCACCTATGAGGAAAATGAGGACTCAAGGGCAGATGAGTTTTTCCTCAATTTATAAGAAAAAAACAGAACCTGAAGGTCAGTGTAAGAAGATGCCCCCGGTACTGTTGACTAGCAATTAAACACCTCAAATCTGTTAGTTTGGCTTATCACGGAGAAAGAGGAGGGGGAGAAAGTACTCCCAGCCATGGAACCATACAGAGTTCAAAGAGTCTAATCGTAGGGATGCATGGTTGAAATGCTCTTTCCTTTTCCCAAGAATGAAGATCATTTTGTTTTTATTTTGTTTTTGTTTTTAAGAGGAACCTGAAGAGAAATAGGTCAGTGCCTGGAAGTATCCAGGTTCCAGTCCAGGCACCAGAGCAGGTCCACCACAAAAGGCTAAGCTGCTCAGGCCACGAAGAGGTGAGTCTGAATGATGTGTCTAGACCCTTCTAGGGATGTAGTAATGAAATGCAGAGAGGAGTAAGTACTTGGTGAAGAGCACAAGAACTATATCCAAACATTCTCTTTCTTCTCTCTCTGTACAAGTGTTTTGGGGGTGAGGGCAGTCCTAGGGTCTATCTCAACCTCTGCTTGCCTTTCTAGAGACACGCGTCAGGGCATACACCTGTTAGAAATCAATCTGCTCCAAGAAGCAATACGTTTAAATTGGAGGAAGGAAGGATTTATGTTCGGTACCAAATCTCTTGCTACCTTTCCCACTATTACACCCCCCACCCTTGAACCCTTCCTAACCGGCTCTGCTTTCACCCGAACCATCCCCACCCGTCCCCCTCACCTTCTCGGTTGTGATGCTTGAAGTTCAATGCCTCCACTGTGAGCTCCCCGCTGAGCACTGTGACGCCGGCTCCGCCGGCTCCACCGGCTCCGGAGGGGGCCAAATGGGGGCCCTGCACAGGAGGCCACGGGGAGGCGAGGTAGCCCCCCGCCGGCCCGCTGTAAACGCCATGCTGGTTGGAGGCAGGGTAGGCGCAGGCGGGAAGGAAGCCGCCCACTGTGGAGAGGCCAGACCCAGACTGTGGGGATGGAGAAGGACAGACTATCACCAGGCAATCCGGCTGACTTCTCCAGCATATGGAGTTACTGAGTCAAGAGATCCTTCTTTCCCCCTTCCACCCCTCTCAATTATCTCCACGCAAATCTTGGATTCTAATTTTCCTAGTAAGGATTCTGGCAAAGTGATGTTCACTCAAATTATTATAAGTAAATAATAATAATAAGTGAGGGGGATCATGGTATTCATCAACTGAGATGTAGAGAAAGAGTCCTCAATAATCTGTGTTACGGGTTCAAGTTTTTATAGCAGAAGTATCTTGGCAAAAGGCAACTCAATCCCCTCCAAAGCCAACCTTTTCCCCAAACTAGTGCGGTGGAGAAAAGACGAGAAAATGCCCGTGTGGGTGCTGGGTGGCCCAGCTGCCAAAAATCCTGAGGCCCCTGGCCTGGGGGAGTTTCCTCTTTCTCTCTTTCCTCCAACCCACTTCCCCACACACAATCTAATTAAGGACATCTCCTTACCCTCAACCTTGATTACCTGGGTGTACTTAATGTCCGCCTCTAATGCAGGTTTCTGGAGCCCATTAACTGCTGGGGTGGCGGGAAAGGTTGTGCGGTTCACACTAGTCCAGTCTTCCATCTTCTGGGAGTAGGTGGCACCTTCGTTCCCGGCCAAGGCCCCTGAAGGGGAGCAGAACGGATTAGTAGAGACACCCAAATCTGTGCTGGGCACAAACACGGCCCTCCGACCAGTCGTTTACACAAGTGCCTACAAGCACTTAGCTCATTTCTCAGGGTGCAGCTGAGGGGCTTTCAAACCTGAGGTGCCAAAACGCTCCTAGAGCGATTGAGAGCGAGAGGCAGTGAAGCATGAGATTTCGCTTTCACGCCCAGCGGGGCAGAAGTTCCTCCTTGCTCCTCCAAGCCTGCGCCCAGCATCCCGGAAAAGAGGAGCTATCTGGCGGAGAGGCGGCCTCTGAGATAAGGGCCATGGTGCCTTTCTGCTGTCTACAGGCAGCTCCCAGTAAGATTCAAGTTAAAATCTAAAGCAGGCTCGTGAGAATTGCTTGGGATTCCCAAAGTCTTAGCAAGTGTCTAAAAGAATGGGAGACATCTGGGATCCCCCAAAGGAGGCGTCAACCCAGTGACCAGCAAGCATCTCCTACGTGTGTCTGCTTCTTCTACACATGTGTGCACAAGAGAGAAACACAAAGAAAGTTCCAGAACTGAACAAGAACCTGGTAAGGCCAAGTCCCAGCCCAGTTACCCACTGGGTTTGAGCCACCAGAAGAAGCAAACCTTGTTTGCGGGCTCAGCAGTGCACCCCACTGCTGCAAGGGCTACACTTTCAACTTCTTTCTGCGGCCCCTACCCCCTTCTCTCTTGGGCTACAGAGAATTTTGCTTCCTACCCTCTTCCTTAGTCCTCTCACATAAAAGCATACCATCCCTTGCCCAGCTTAAGAAACGGGGCACTCAATTGGGCCGATTTTCCCAAGCTCTGAACCAAGGCTGCCTCAATCTTCTTTCCCTACTCCACCCCCTCCATTCCCTGAGAGATATGACCATAAATTTGTCGATTTCTAATTACAGGCAACCGGCAAATCCTTTGAGCTTCCACCCCAAAGATGGCTGCAGCTTTGGGGTGCCACAATTGAGATCCCAGTTCCAGAACCTGCAATGAAGCTAGGCCTACTTGAGATCTAGGTCGCTACACAATATGGGCCGGATGCCCCTTTGCCTTTTACTCAAAAAACCTTGGGGCATGGGGGAGATGAGATCTTTTGGAAAATTGTGAGGAATACTGAAAGACCTTTAAGACTCAAAGAACTCACTGACGTTTGTTTGGCTTAGATCTGGGATAGAAGTTCGCCTTTTCTTTTCGTTTCTTTTTTTTTTTTTCTTTTTGCGCAAGTACGAAGAAATGCAATTTTAGTCTTCTGAATCTGTGGTCGGAGACTGCTCTTCCATTAGGAAAATATTTTCCATATTAGTCATAAAAAGTTCAAGATATCCAAGGGTCCCACATAAGGTCTGTGACCCTCAACCTTCCTGTCTAGCCCTAGCCTTCCCCTCAGCCAAACTGGTCCAAGGAGTGTGACCCCTCGCCCTCATGCCCACTCCCCTACTAACCTCCAATTCTGCCCCTTCCGAGAAGGTTACAGAAGGCTTCCACGACTGACCTGTTTGTTCCATAAATGTCCGGATGCCCAGGATGTTGCTGACCGAGTGCGCCGAGGGCCATGAACGGGGAATGTTGACGTGACCTGCTGTCGTTCCCGGGACTCCGTGGTGACTGCCCATTTTGGCGCCGGCGGGCGACACGGGGCTGGGGTAAGGGTACTGATAGATGTGGTTGTAGGGCAGCGCCGACTGTGGCTGCGGCTGCTTGCTTGTCTCATAGGGCCCAGGCTGAGCCAAGCTGCCAATCTTATTTCGCAGGATGCGGCTGATGGAGCTCACAGAGGGCACATTGTATTTATCGCAGACGCCGTCGGCCAGCAGCCGGTCGCGAATCTCCCAGGCAAAGATGCCAGGGTCACCCTGCTTGTAGTCCCGAATATGTTTGACCACGTTGGGGGTGGTGACGCGGGGTTTGCTACCTCCGATGGCCCCTGGCAGGATGGAACCTGTCTCGTTGTAGCGCGCCAGGATCTTGCTCACGCAGCCGTGGGATACCCGAAGTTGCCGGCTGATGTCACAAGGTCGGATACCCAGCTGCGCCAGCTCCACGATGCGCAAGCGGATGGCGTTGGGCAGGGGGCGGCCGTTGACAAATACGCCGCCCAGCTGGTTCACCTCGCCGTATGTCTGCTCTGCGGACGCGCCCGAGGACAGTGAGCAAGAAATCGAGAAAATACCATAGGGTTAACCAAGGGTGGTTGCACAGGGCTCGGGGCCGCACCCAGGCATGCCTCAGGAAATGTCCTGCCGACACCCAGAATGTGCGGGCAAACACTGGGTGTGCCTTCGGGACTGAGCGAAGTCATAGGGACCCCGGAAGGGGGCGCGGAGTCCTACAACCCTCCTCGTCCTTTTGACGCCATCTCACGTGGGACGCCCCAACCCGACGCGGTGAACTGCCCCCACCTCGCCCGGAAGGCTGGGCACTTGAGGAAAACGCGGCTCGTCCATAACCTGGACGGCGTCTACCAGGGGGGAAAGGCAAGAGGAAAGGGAAACTTCGGGACAGGACACACCTCGTCCTCCCGCCCGCCCCCGCCTGCCTCCAGCCCCTTACCCATTGTGCGCAGGCCAGCCAGCTGCGTGAAGCGGGACGGCAGCGCCTGGGCCCGGAGCGGTCCCGGAGAGCTCGGGCGCCGGCTGCCAGGGGAGAGGCATAGAGGGAAGGCGAGCGCCAGCCGAGAGCCGCGGCTATCGGGCCGAGCTGGAAACGCGCTGTACCCGGCTACCGATCTTGCTGCCTCCCGCCGCCGGGCCCACCGCTGCCGCCGCAGCCGCCACTGCGCTCTCCCAAGACACTCTCCACGCCCGAGACCCCAGACTCAGGGAGAACTTCATCCGATTAAGAAAAATTCGTCTGACCCGGAGGCTGCAGCGTACAGGGATCAATTTTACGTGTCCTCCACGTCAATCTCGGCAGTCGCGCAGGAGACTCATGAGTTGGCAGCTCATTGGTTCCCGTCACTGCACCCCAGCACCCCCCGCCCCTCGATGAAACTCTACCCTCTCCTCAGTCCTCTGCTATCTACCCTCCTGTGGACCCATCCTCAAACCCAACCTCCTCCCTACACACAAACACAAAGTCCTAACCTTAGCTGTCCTGGGGCCATCTACTTGATCTGCTACCCTCGAAGAATTTTACCCTTCTGGTTCTGATCAAGATGGGGTAGTCATTTTAAATTGATGAATATTTATTAGTACTAGTACTAGTTTGGGTTTTAGTTTTACTACCAACTCCACAGCCATTCCATTACTGTTAAGAAATCACAGTATTAAAGTTGATCAAGATGCTCAGTGTGAGGTATCAGTGCCCCATTTCTGAGAGTTTGAGCATCGCAATGAGTGTTCACAGTGACTGGCCAAAGGCATTTACTGTGTCCTATTTCTGGCCAACACTCCAATCCCGCTTTCAGGAAATCTTTACAGTGTTTAACAGCCACCCCTACCCTTGGGGTAGTGTTGTTATTTCAGTGATGTGAAAGGTGCTGGTTCTAGATTCTGTCTCCCTGCGACCAGTCCCATTCACCCGAACTCAATCCACCCTGACATGAGGACGAAGGAAAGTCAGAAAGGGATTCTGATCCCCTCCCCCGTCTCCTCCCGCACTGCCAGTGGCATCCTGGTGACCCCGACCCCCCCCCCCCAGGAAGGTCGCAAGCTGTAGCCCTGGCTCTAGGCCTGAAAGGCAAGTCCTTTCATCCAGTCCGGGAAACCAAAATTCTTCCACATCTGAATTGCCTGGCCTCACGTTTCACACAGCATCGGCAGCTTCCAGAGGGTCTTTGTGAAACCTCTGAATGGTTCTTTCCCCTCCGTTTAAGGGAGAGGGGAGTGAGCAGCCCTGAACTCTCTAGCTTTTGCGGGAACCATCAACCCCCTCCTTTATTTGTACCTTGCATCAATGCCCAATTCTGGACTTTCCCAGCCTGTGTCTCTAACTGTAGTAGTCAAAGAGGGAGCTATGCAGTGGATTCCAGGAGAAAGCAGGTGGAGGGAGTAAGCTCTTGGTTTTGCCCTGAACTGACAGAGAGGAGATTGAGACCACGGAGGTCCCAGCTTGAAGCCAGTAAGCACTAAGGGCTTAAGGCTGAACAAACTGGAACAGGAAGGGCGGAGTAGGAGGAAGCCTGGGAAGAGCCTCGGTTCTCAGGACAGCCTTGTTCTAGCTCTCCTCACCAGGCGGGAATAATTCCCGGCTCCGTTGCCCCAGAGTCTAAGGTTTTGGGGCTAGGAAATAATTGGGGGGGGGGGTGATGCTGCGGGAGGATCAGCGCAGCCAGGGAGCAACAGTGACCCAGACCTGACGCCTTTCCTTTCACTTCGGGAGCAGAAAGTGCGGCTGGCTCTGAATTAACCTGTTCAAATGTGTCAATTAGGAAGGCCTGAGAGATAAATCCTCTCCTCGGGGGAGTGAGCGAGGGGGGGGCAGGTTTCCGCTGAGATGCAGCGGGGGCCGCGGGCAAGAATTATCCTTGGGAAGAAAACCCAAGTTGAAAAAAAGTTAGGAATCTCCCCTGCTGCATCACGGAAAATATAGTGCAACCTCAGGGAGGCCAATGGGGACCCAGCAGAGGATTGTCTGTGCACCGGTGAGGGGTCAAGTACTTTCTAGAAGACTAGGCCAGTCTAAGTGAGCACACGGGTAGGGACAGGGTAAAGGGATAGTTTGAAATACGATGGGCAAACCGGAGCCAGGGGTTCTGCAAAAGTGCAGAGCAGAGGATTGAGTATGCCCTGGCTGTGGAGCTCTCTGAGACTGTGCACAGTGCGAGGTGCCCTGCTCAGTTCTTTCTAGGTTATTTGGACCCTGTTTTCTCCTGATCTAGACTTTCGTTGCCTGAATTTCAAGTCAGGCCCGGAAAGATCAGAAAGGTTGATTTCTGGATCTGAGAACCACAATATGCATAACCTAGAGCATCCCTGAGATAAGGTGAAACAGCTAAAGTGACTTCTTTCCCTTGGAGGCCAGGAGTAGACAGGAATGCTCAGAGAAAAGATTGTAAGGCCGTTGGTACTTCTGTGAGAGCTGGTTTGCCCTAACTGTTCTCAGGGAACATTACTCCACATCTACCAGAAGAGCGCTGGGTGCTAGCAAGGAGGTGCAGTTCAGAACCGCACCATCTCCCTATTGCCCTCCTCAAAGGCCCGCAGGGCGGGGGTAGACAAAAAATTATGCCTGGGGGCTCTCTGTAGTGTCAGAGCCTGTGTGCCCTTACTTCACATCCCACCTTCCTCTCACTCCCAGTAGCTCCAGCAGCGAGCTAGTACCAGAACCATGCAGCACTCCCAGCAGCCTGATCACAGCCAGCCTCGGGAAAAGCCTACAGTTTGTCGCCCCCTGTTGGCTCACGGACCGGTTCGGCGGGTACCCGAGGTCGGCTGGGTTAGAGGAGAGGTGGTCCCAAACGTGGGGCTGCAGAAGGAAAAGAAACATCTCTTCCACCTCTCCGGGATGCAGCTTGGTCCTTCCGGTGACCAGGAAAAGGCGAAGTGGCCAGTGCTGGGCGCGCAATAGGTAAAAGACTCGCCTATATCATGTCTGTTTGGCTGGATTTGGCTCCGTTGTTTTGAACATCCTGGGCGCAGCATGGAACAAGGTGAGGAGCTGCTCCCAGAGGCTCAGGACCTTCCTAGATAAGGACGCGCTACAGAACCCGGGGTCTCATCTGGGGCTGGACCCAGGGCCAGAGAGGTGGAGGACAGAGTCGAGAGCCCCCGAGTGGCTTCGGGAACTAATCCCGTTTTCCCAAGGCAGAGAAAGACAAGGCAAGGTCCCTGCCAAAAGCGTGAGGCAAAGAGGAAGCAGGGAATGGGTACCTACCCTCCTAAAGGCAGGAGTAAGAGGAAGCAGGAGGGATTTGGGGTGAATATTCCCTTGCGATTTTCCTCCTGATCCCAGGACCTGAATGTAAAGGCTGAGAGTTTCTGTGACAGTCAACCCCACTTCATTTTTCCTAGGTCTCTGATTTTTGATGGAACTCTTTCCAGTAACTCTTCGGGTGCAAATGAAACGTGCTGGTCACAATACACTAGGGTGTTCCGGTACCCATGCATTTTAAAATCTTCAGGAGAAACCTACACAAGCATATGAGAGTCTCTCTCAAGTTCCGTAGAACGGAAAAAGCAACAGAGGGCCCAGCGTTTTTCAGTTCAGCTACCAGGAAGGAGTAGAGCGCAGGAAACACACAATAGCGAGACTTCCAGGAGGGCCCGCGGGCCGAGCATGGGTTCGACGTACAGCCAACACGGTACCCATCAGCCTCGCTCCCGGTGAGCAAAGTCAGGAAACTAGTCCTCCCAGACAGCGACGCCGCAGGCCTGCGGAAACTGCAATGGTCCAGCTTGCGTCCTGGCTCAGTTCAGGTCACACGCTATTGTTATGATTTTAAGAACACTGTGCAGTGAGTCATGTGGTTGGAAAGCAAAGTTAAACGGAATCTCTTAGCTTTAGTTTTAACTTTATTTTTGTTTAAAGTAGCGCGGTCTGCAAATGCACTTTATACACCAGATTATATTGTGCCCCTCCTACACACCCCCGCCCCAAGACACAGTTTTGCAAAGGAGATCGTACGCTCCACAGTTGGAAAGCATAATGAGTAAGAAGTGACTAGCTGCAGGGAGACAAACGGTTGGAAAAGCTGACCCAGATCTAGGAACTGCAAGCCCCCAGGAAACATGCGGGGGGTGGGGAGGACAGGAATCTCAGGGGTGAGGGAGGTGGGGAGGAGGAAATAGGAAGACTCCGGGTTAAATAGTACCCGTTGTTGGAGGCCAAAAAGCGCGGGGGGGGGGGGGGAGGGCAGTATGTCCTCCCCATCAAGAGGCCTCACAGAGAAGAGTGGTGGAGGCATTGTCCCCTGCATCTGCAGTTCCAGTTTGGGACACATATACTCCCCAGACCCCAAGTGGAAGGTGTTGATGATGGTACCAATTCTCATTAGAACAGAGCCCCAAGAACATGACATACTGTCCTAGGCTGCTCAGCCTTCTGTGATTTGCTTGAAATTTTTTGCCTAGCAGTTCTTTGCCTCATTTTATTTACTAGCCTAGCATTTTTATTTGGTAGCCTGTAAGTGTTTATTACGGAAACCGGTAAAATCTGCCGTGTTATAGTGGGGCGCAGATTTCACTGATTTCCACTACATTAGCTACTGACCTCAGAGAATGTCCTTAGAAGTACAAGGGGAAAAGAGGCAAAGAATTTTTTTTCATTTTCCTAAAATGAAATGGATAAGCAAGAACAGATGAGTATTTTCTACGTCAATAACAAGACAGTTCCTGGAGTTCATTCAGACGGGTAGGAAAAAAATTAGAAAACAGATTTGGGGAGAAATCCCCACTGGAAATAGATGGAGAAGGCGTTGTGAACAAAGATCTAAGGTACTTCCTACCCTGCAATTCAGGAACTTGACCACTACATTTATAACACTCTTTCTGAAGTAGAACATTTTAAATGTGGCATTTAGGTGGTAAAAATAAACCACAGTAAGCTAGTACCACTTTCTGTAGGAATAGTTTTGAGTCTTCTGAAAGACAAAGGAGCAATGTCTTTGTCATTCTCGAGTGTATATTCTCATGAGTGCAAAATCAGGGTATCTTTTATTGCTCTTATGTCTCTCTCCTGTCCTCGGCAATTGGCATGATAAATTTCCCCTTATAGAAAATTACCTATACTGTGTAATTATATCTATTTCATTTAACACATCAACAATAAAAGCCTACAAGGGCTTTGGGCTCTGGTCAAAATTCCACCTTTGCAATGAGCTCTCACAAGTGTTTATGTGGCAGTGCTAACAATCTAAAGAGCAATATTAAAATGGAAATATTTGAGAAACTTA